AAAAGAGAAAAGAGAGAATAATATACATAAAATATATATATATATATATATAAAATTAGAATTCAAAAATTTTTAATGAATAGTAGGGGTGTCAATTCGGGTCAACGGGTTGGGTTCGGGTCGAACCCGGAACTGACCTGGCATTGTTCGAGTTAACCAGAACCCGACCCGTTTTTAAAAATTGGTCAAGTTTTCGGACCCGAACTTGACCCGATACGAATAACCCGAAGTTGACATAAAATTGCTAGTTTTCGGGTTTAAAATCGGGTCAATCTTTCATTTTCAGGTAAAAAACGTTTCAATCTGGGGTTTCTGAGTCAAATAGGAGTTTTCGTGTCAATTTCAGATCATTTTCGGATCATTTTCGGATTGCTCGATCAACTCGAACCCGACCCGATTTTTAAAACGAGTTGATTTGTTGAACCTGATCCCGACCTGTTTCGGGTCCGGGTTGACCCTAACTTGAATTTTTCCGGAGCGGATTCGGGTCATGTTAAAAATTGACACCCCAAATGAATAGTCAAAACTTTTAATCAAAAAGATTTTGAAAGTTTGCATCTCAATTTGTTATAAATGATAATTATATTCTTCATTTTTTAATCAGAATTTCACAATTAATATTTCTACTATTTTATAATGTTAACTATAGTAAAAAATTAATTTTGATTAAAAACATCATTTATGTAGATAATAATGAGTATTTATTTTTATAAAGATATGTTCAACTTGATTTAGATGATATAGGATCATATTCGTTATTATTACACTAATTCTGATTGCAAGCTGCAACTAATAAGAAGATGGTGTGTGGTGGCTTTACATTCCCTAGCTGGCATCATCATTAGCAAGCCTGCACGCTTATCACTCATGGCTCCAGCATATTCGCCGCCCCACACTTTTTAATGAAAATCGTCAGACATGCGTATCAGATACACGTGTCCTATTAAAAAAAAATAGGGTCACAATTTGCCCTATTCATTTTGGCTATTCGCTCGATATCCTTATTCATTTATGCGGCTTAAACATTCGGCGAGCTAGGTTTTTCGTTTCCGCATAGGTGTTCATGTTCTTCGTTATAGTCGAAGGAGTGGTTCGATGACGCGAGCATAGAAGTGGACAGGATCATCCTTCGTCGACAAAGATGCTTGACGACTCGAGCATTAAAGCCGACAGAATCCTTCGTCGACGGAGCGACTCGACAACACAAATAGTGAAGGCGACGTGAGCATTGAAGGTTCGTTTTCTTCATTCTAAGTTTTCTTAATCGTAAGCTCGGTACCGGAACTTGGTACCGCTCAGTACTCGGTACCACTGTTTTTTCTTAATGGCAGAAAAGTCTAAGGTTCCTTTTCTTCATTCTAATTTTGTATTAAAAAGTTGCTTTATGAATCAATAAAAAAGTCATCTCAAATATAGCCTTAGACTTTATTTGGGATAATTTTCTTACTATTTTTTAAAATAATTTGTCAGTACAATTTTTTTTTTTTAACTAGAAAATTTTTTACTAAATTTTTTTTATTTTAAAATTAGTAAGAAAGTTTGTCCCAAATAAAATCTTAGAAAATCCAAAAAGAATTAGAAGAAGAAGCACACCAAAAGTTGAAAGATCCATACGTAGGAGGCGAAAAGGCTTTGGAACTCTTTCAAAATGCTAATTCATGCGAAACATGTGAAGCCGAAGCAACAATGACAAAATGGAGATGAGAAAAAAGTAAACCAATATTGATAAAGACCATCGTTCAATTATAGAAATAGATACTCAATGGCAGAAAAGAACATTGTTCCCGTTTATAAAACGTTTTCGGTCCAATCAGTTTTTTTTTTTTTTTTTTTTTTTTTTTTTTTCTTTTCTTAATTTTTTAATCTTTATTATGATTTTGTTTGAGATAACTTTTTTATTACTTCTTAAAATACAGTTTTAGTAAAAAATTAATTTTTTTACTAAAATTTTGTTTTATGAAGAAATAAAAAAATCGTCCAAACAAAATCTAAATCATATGAAAAAAGAGCCGATCGGACAAAAAGGAGATTTATCCAGTAGTTAATGAATAATAGTAATATATAATAAGTATGATTTAATTAATTTAATTAAGCGCTATTGATATGTCTTCAAAAAATTATCTTGACTGGGCATGAATTTCGATGCAAAATCAAATGGGAAACTTCTGAAATTAAATTTGGGACCATTTGAATTTCGATTTCAGCAAACTTATAGGCAAACTAAGCGTCTCGAGAATACGAACCCAACAACACCAAATCCAAACCAATCCGAGCCCAAACGGGTCCAAATTAAGGGTAAGAAGAACTGTTGGAAGGTTCAAAACACAATTTGGATTACCAAACGGTTTTCAAACAAAACATGCTTATAGTCAAATCGAGTGGCAAAATGAGATGAATCCAACGAGCCCAAGATCACCGAATTCCGACATCTTTAAGAACTTCAGATGTCTGACAAACGATCCACGATCAAGGGATTCAATATCGGTCGTCCATCCAACCACTCCCCATTTATATTTGATCTCTCACATGTTTACGGGCCATGTGTGATGCGGTTCCCAGAACTATCTGCAGGCCGATATTTTCTACAGTGCCGATCGGCCTGGACGATCTAAAATCGTCCTGGACGATCCTGAGAGGAAAATTCAAATCAGAGAGGAACAGTAAGGGAACGAGGTCTCACACCATGCCACTCCAGAAATCTATAAATAGACCCCTCCTCAATTCTCTTGAAGGGGGATCCAAGCAAGAAGAGAAGAAGAGAAGAGAAGGAAGAAGTTCTGCCTCAACCACCGCCGGAGTTTTGCCAGGACTACCATCGGAGCTTCGCCGGACCACCACATGAGGCATTCGCCTTCGCAAGATCACCACCGAAGGCACGGAGTTCTGCCAGACCACCACCTGAAGCCTGAAGTTCTGTCGGACCATCATCTGACACCCAGACTTCTGTCATACAGTTATTATTTGTAATCTGATTGCCCTTGGAGGCGAGTTAGTCTATTGTCACCAACTCAAGTTCTAGTGGAATCAGTTTCAACTGGGCCAGATTCCGTGGTTTTTCCCTTTTTCCAGGGCTTTTCACGTAAAAACTCTGGTGTCTTTTATGAATGTTACACCCTTTCTCTTATCTGCTTGTTTGCTGGATCTTCGTACAATGCTAAGACATTAAACTATATATTTCTCTACCACCGCAAATACTCCAGGACGCCAGCACCTATAATTATTTTAAATTAGAATTTATTATATTCAATCAATATTAATATTAATCTAATAGCTTTTCTTATTTTGCTTATATTTAATTAATCTATTTAGGATTAATTAAGAATTTAAATGAAAATTTATATTTTATTACTTTAATAACTTCCTAATCAATAATTTGTTATTATATTAAAATATAATAATTATGATTCATTATTATTTGATTAACTTTATTTTAATGATATAATGTATATTAATTTTAGTGTTAATAATTATTTTAAAATCTTATTTTAGCTAATAAAATTTAAATCTTGAAATGATTATTCAAACAATATTTTAATATTTAATTGAATTTAGGCTTCGTTTGGAACGTCTTTCTTATTGCTTCTCAAAGTAACTTTTTAGAACAAAAATTTAAAATTTTTGTACTAAAAAAATATTTAAGAAGTGGTAAGAAAGTGATCCTAAATGAAGCCTTTATTTTAACTATATCAAATAATATTCAGGATTTAAATTCCAAAGAATTGAGTAACTCCAAAATTACAGGATTTACCAAATATTATTTTCAGTTAAATTCTCTGTGTATCCAAACAGGCCCATATAGTTATCCAACTCAATCTCCACTCCAAGTGGATAACAACCAAATGAATCACTCACTAAATTTTACAAATGAATGACATTCAACATCATTAACCACTAAATTTCTCGTCTATATTATCAACCAGTTGTAGCCCCCTCCCAATAAGAAAATAATGAAGACGTTGATGTAGAACATCTTAGTTAAGATTTTTCTTAGGACTAGCTTATCATCGTTTATTATTACTAGCTTCTAGAATATTCTTATTAGCCTATAAACATGCAAGTTTTGTAGTAGGAAGAGATTATTGATGAATAGAATCCTCGTTTAAGCCTTTGAGTTATGTATTTGTCCTTGGATTGGGAATTTTTCTTGCAGGGCAGATTCTTCCGCCGATCCACGCATCAGATGCATGCCAACCATCACATGGTTTTCAACTCTTGTCATCTATCACCTTCCAACACTCATCATCCAGTGACCATTCAAACTCCTAAATAGGGGTGTTAATATTTGACACGACACGAAAATCCGACCTAGAAAATTCAGGTTGTACCCGACCCGATTTCAAAATGGGTCGGGTTCGGGTTCTCGGATTCGACCCGTTTCGGTTCAGGTTGTCGGGTCAACCCGCGAACCCATTTAACTTGAATTGCCTGCGCTGCCCTGCTTACCTGCGAAGCTGCCCCGCCTGCACGCGCACCGCCCACGGCTGCCCATACCCTGCCTGCTCAGCTGCCCGCGTGACAAAGCCTGTCAGTGCCGGCGCCCCGCACCCGAGGCTGCCCGTGCGCATGCCGCGCTCGCACCCGCACTAGCCGCGCACACTCGCCTGGTCGCTCCAGGGCGCACCCCCTCTAGTCCGACATCGTCAGCGCGTTTCGAGACCCGTGTCGGGTCAGGTTAACCCGGCAACCCGACGGGTCGGGTCTGGGTTCGAATTTTCGACCTGTTTATCTACCCGGGTTCGATTAGGGTTGACTTATTTGAACCCAGGTCAGTTCCGGGTTCGACCCGAAATTGACACCCCTACTCCTCAAGACTTCTCCATCACTACAAATGATACTTCTCACAACTCAACCATTTATCATTTAGATCCGGAGTGATAATTTTGTGTTCAACACAAAATAAAGACACTCTTGTAATGAAGGCATCCCACTTGTTATCTCTCATATCTTGTAATCTGATTTTTGATATTTGAACTAAAGACATGGCATTCACAATGTCCTGATCTTTCCTTTGCAAAGCATCTGATAGTTCAGCAGTGATTTCAAGTATGTCTTTCATTAAGTGCAAACAGAAAGAGAAGTCAAAAGATTGAATTGAATCTAATATGCAAATGCTTCTCCTCTTTGTTCAGAACTTATCCCATCCTCCAAAACTATTTCAAGCACATGAACAACTGAGGAGAACATTGTAATCAATCTTATTAGTGACTCATAATGAGAACCCCATCTTGTTTCACCAGGTCGCCGTAAAGATATTTCTTGATTTAATCCTCGTCCTGTGAACACCTCACCATTGTGTAATGCACTTAATGTCATATCGCGTTGTTTATCTCTTAGTTGATTACGACGTTTGCATGAAACACCCACAATATTCATCACATTTGAAATTATAGTAAACAATAGTGCAATCTGAACATGATTTTTCGCAACTGCAACCAAAGCTAACTGTAGCTGATGTGAAAAGCAATGAATATAACTTGCACCATCATAACCTTGACCGCGAATTTTAGAGTAAGACAAACTATAATTTGAGAGGACTTCTTCAACTCCTTTTTTGAGACATCGAGCTGACGTTTCAGGAACATGTACAATACCCAACAAACGTTCAGTAATTTGCCCTTTTTCTGTCACATATCGTATAATGATAGCCATTTGTTCCTTTCCTGATACATCACGAGCTTCATCAACGAGAATAGAGAAGAAACTGTCACCAACCTCTGCTTTTATATAGTCTGTAATTGCACTAGAGATGGCTCTACAAATATCTTTCTGAATTTCAGGGGCTGTTAATTTCAAATTTTCAGGAGCATTCTTCAGTACAACATTTTTTATATCTTCATTATGATTTGATAAGAATTGCAGTAACTCAAGAAAATTTCCTTGATTTTTGGAGTCAAAACTTTCATTATGCCCTCGAAAAGCCAATCCTTGTCTTAGAAGGAATTTTACACAATCAATGGAAGAATTTAGTCGGATACGATAAGCATTTGTAACTCGATCAGACTGCATCTGCAAGGCAAAGTTGATATGTTGATCTTGTTTCATTAAATCATCACAACTTTGCCTTGCATTATTATGAGCACTACTTGGTCCTCCTATATGAATATCAAATCTATCTGGTTTTTTCCAATTCGAGAAACCATTTTTGCGAAATGCTTCATCCTCTTCTTTTCCTCTACCTTCTACTCCAAAAAGATAGCAATATAAACAATATGCTTTATCCTTTTGAATACTATACTCTAACCAACTAGAGTATTTATCAAACCACTTCGGATTGAAACGTCTATCTTTTATTCCAAACTTACTCTTGGGAAAGTCATGATTGCGAGGCTGACATGGACCTTTTTGCAAATATGCTCTTCGAATTTGATCACGAATATTAAAACTAAATTCAGAAATAGGTATACGTAAACCAGGATCTGATTGAAGGTTCTCTAGATTTGTAAGCTCGTTGTTTGATGATTCACCAAATGTTCGATTTCTTTTTTTATTTTTTTCCTCATCATTCGTTCTTGAATCTTCTATTGGTATTGATATGCAAGATTGTGAGGCCTTCTTAAAATACTTCTCCATAATCTTTGTGCAAAAACAAAACACCTAAAACATATATAACTCAAATACTATAAGTTGATCTAAATTAAAAATTTAAACTTAAACATTATAATTTATAAAACATATTAATATACTATAATGATTTTTTTTAACCTAAACAGAACTACATTTAAAATAAAGCATTAAAAAAACATTTGGCATGCAAACAAATTTTCATTTTTTGACCTAAACAGCAAACTAATTAACTAAAGCTTAAAAATTAATAACAAAATCTTATAAACTGAACAACATCAAACGAAGTTGCAATCCACAAAAATGAAATCAACGAAATCTAAAGAAATTTTGAGAGGTACTAACCTTCAACCCTTCAGCTATTTGATCAGAAAAACTGAAGATGGGATTGCCTGAGAGAATATGCCGACTGCCGAACTGAATGCCGACTGTCAGTCTCTCGGCCTGCAGAGTCGGCGACTGGACGACTGGACGAACCTTTTGGAAAAACAATAAGCTGCTGGGCGATGGAGGCAGAGGCGAACTGATCGCGCACTCGCGATGGAGGCAGAGGCGAACTGATCGCGCACTCGCGAACTTGCGATGGAGGCAGAGGCGAACTGAACGCCGCTTCCTTCTCCCGTTCTCGGCGCGGAACCGAACAGGTTTTGTGCAAATAGCCGAGAAATTAGGGCAAAAAAATGCTGAACCGCCCAAATAGTCCGACCGAAATGCACGCATACAGGTTTTTTTTTTTGGCGGTGGGGGCACGTGCCCCCACGGGACCCCATGTACATCCGCCGTTGGTAGCAAAGCCAACTTATCAAGATTTAGGTACTATTAGTGTTAATTTTCAGAGTCTTTCTAAGATCACGACAATATTTCTATTTGTCTCATGCTTTTTTTTATTATTTTTTCATAACATTAAGTGTTTATTTCTTATGTAAAGCATTTTTTTTGTAACCAGCTTTGTTGCGTCCTGAAATATTTGAATGAGAAATATAAAGTTTAACGTCTTAATTTTGTACGAAGATTCAACACACAATCAGATAAAATAGAGGTTGTAGCGTTCATAAGAGACACAATAGTTTTTATATGGAAACCTCTGAAAAGGGGAAAAAATCATAGGACCTGGTCAAGTTTGAATGAATCCAGTAGTGTTTGCAATCAATTACAAATTAGGTCTTTCCTTGAGAGAAGACATTGGTTTGATGCAACAAATATACATAATATATAGTGCATTACATGGTGGGAATTGGAAGAACGAGCATTAACATGTTTCTTTGGTCGACAGGATCATAGTCGGCGGGCAATGGGGTGACAATGGTTGGAAGGACCGTAGTTAGCAGGCGACGGAGCTTGAAAAGATTGTACTCTGGTGATAGAGGTCGGAAGGACCGTTGTCTGGCAATGGAGGTGGGAAGGATCATAGTCTATAGGCAACGGAGACCATAAAGACTGTAGTACAATGACGGAGGTCGGAAGGATATTACTTAGCATGTGGGAGTGGCTAGAAGGCCATAATCAGCGGGCAACAATGGTTAGAAAGATAATATTCTAATGACAGAGGTCAGAAGGATCGTAGTCTGCGGGCGATAATGATCAGAAAGACCGTTATTTGGTGACAACAATCAGAAGGACTGTAGTCGATGGGCAATGGAGGTCGAAAAGACCATAGTTTAGGGAAGACAGTGGTCAGAAAGACTGTTGTTTGGTAATAATGGTCGGAAGGAGTGTAGTCGACTGGTGATGGAGGTCGAAAAGATCAATAGTCAAGGGGCGACAGTGGTCAGAAAGACCATTATCTAGTGACGGAGATTAGAATGATCGTAGTTTGTGAGCGACAGTAGTCAGAAAGACAATTACCTAATGACGGATGTCAGAAGGACTGTAGTCGGCAGACGATAGAGGTTGGAAAGACCGTAGTCTGGCGACGGAGGTCGTAAGGACCGTAGTCTGGAGACGGAGGTCGGAAGGACAATATTAAATGAGCGTTAGAGGGAAGAAAGACTGTTGTCTAGCAACGAAGGTCGAAATGACCGCAGTTACTGTGTGACAGTGGTCAGAAAGACCGTTGTCTGGTGACAGAGGTAAGAAGGATCGTAATAGATGGGCTACAGTGGTCAATTGGACTGTTGTCTCGCAACGGAGGTCGGAAGTATCATAGTTAGATGATGATAGTGGTCAGAAAGACTGTAGTTGACGACGACAATGATTAGAATGACTGTAGTTGGGCAATAGAGGTGGGAAAGACCGTAGTTGGGCGAAAGTTGTCAGAAGGACTATAGTCAACGAGCGACAGTTGTCAGGGGGAAGTCCAACGATAATCCGTGGTCGGGAGTAAGTCCGGTAACAATCGATCATCAGGCGGAAGTCCAACGTTAATTGGTGGTCGAGCAGAAGTTCGATAGTTGGTGGCCAGGCAGAATTCCGGCGTTAGTCGATTGTCGGGCCAAAGTCCGGTGATAGTCTGTGGCATGGATGAAATCCGGTGATAGTCTAGCAACGATCGGTGGTCCAATGGTGGTCGACGGATGGTTGGTCTTCTCTGTGTATCTGTTTCCCTTTTGTTTTCTCTTGCAGGATGTCGAAGCTTGAGCTGAAGTTTTGAGCAGCTTAGCAGGTTTCACAATTTCAAGGATTGCATAAAGGTAGCCCGTCGGTTTGGCGATTTGAAGAGGGGGAGCTTTCAAGATAGGATCAGCAATATTTGGGATTGCTATCAAATCTTTTAAAAGTATAATGAACAGCTGATATCAGATTCTCGTATAATTTTATAAGAATTGGAGAGCTTTGATTCCAAAAGAGTATTGCACTGATGTTTTTTCTGTGTAATTGGCATACAAATTGATGAGTGTGAACGCCAATGTCTCTATTCACTATTTAACGTTCAGTCTTTGAACAACAGCTCCTACAAATTTTCTAAAAGTGTAATTTGCATGATATAAGCTGAGGGTCCCTTAGAGTTCATAAATCAATGACAACATTGTAGATGAATATATTAAAATAGCCAAACAATAATTTCTGCAGATAAGACAGACATAAAGGAGCTCAGTCTTTCAACAAGGAACTTTTTATTTGGTCCGGTGAACGGAGTAAAGCTACGTTCGGCCGGCACTGAGATCGAGCCATATAGCAGGCACAAAACTGCGGACCCGACCCGGCGAATAATGGGTATGTCGCACGTGCGTTTTTTAAATCCATGACAACCCGGTATTGCTAGGTATTGCTCATTATTGCTAGGTATTTGTCGATTTTGCTCGGCAATAACGAGAAATACCATTATGTGAAGACAAATACAGCGCAATACCGAGCAATACCGAGTAATACCGAGTAATACCGAGCAATACCGAGCAATACCGAGTTTTTCTACTCGGTATTGGTCTTCACAGAGTGGTATTTCTCGTTATTGCCAAGCAATACCTAGCAATACCGAGTAATACCTAGCCATACGCGAACATATCATTCCCGGGTTCCTGTCCGGGTCAAGTCGTCGAGCCGCACGGTAAAAAGTAAGAGCACGTGACGCGATCTCAGTGGTGACCGTACCGGACCTAATAATTGTTCTTCAACAAGAGCTAGAAAAGATGACTGACGGTGAGATGAAGAGTAACATTGCAGCAATTTTTCTGTCCCAAGATTAAACAGCAATTCAGACATCCGAGGAACAAAAAGCTAATCATTTGATCATTGAAAATGGCGAGATGCAATACGAATATGAGAAGATTGTTCCACTGCCGAGTACAAAGTTCTTTCTTTTAAGCAGAAAAGACAGCCTACGAAAGGATAAAGAAAGCTACCCCACACAAAGCAAAAGCTTCACATCCCAATCTTCAATATCTCATCTCATACTGGAAGACAGCTTTGGAAGCTATCTTTCTTTGATTTTGTGAGCTATTTAGTGAATAAGTTTGGGTAGAAAACAAGACAGATATGATTATGTACGGTTTTCCATCACAAAAGCATAAGTAAATGAAATGATGCAGCAAAGACAAACGGTCCAAAGCCCCACATATTTACAGCCAAACTCGAACATGAACGTTTAGAAAGAGATCAAGCAATTCTATGCGCCTACAAGCTAACAACAAATAATCATTGTCATTCAATCAAAAATCTTTTTTGCATCACTAACTTGTACTATACCATCTAAATCATTTAGACTAGCAGAGCTTGAGCTCCCATGTTCTTGTTCTGAGAGAGAAACAGAGGCCAAGCCTTCCATCAGCCTCATAATCTCCGTTGTGTCATCCAGATAATACTTAGCCTTGCTTGGTTTCTGCCCCACCGTGCATGCAAAAACCTCAGCTTTTTGGCACAAAGAAGAATCAGCCATGGCATTGCTTATGACCTCGAACATCTGTTCATCGGACCGATCATCTCCAATACACAGAATGAAATCAGGAACAAGTTCCTTGGCCCTCAAAGTCGAAAGCATTCGCTCCGCCACCAAGCCCTTGTTCACACCCTTCAAATGAATATTATGGTTAACTATATATAGATTCCTTTACCCTTTATCAAGCAAGGAAAGCAATTTGTCGTGATAACAGTGATATCTCACCTGAGGCTTGACTTCTACTTTATGATGGCCAACCTTGACAGAGACAGGTTCATTGGCAAGGACGCTCTCGAGATGATTGAGAAGCTCTTTTGCTTGGCAAGAGCCGAAATCTGGATCAGCGTCCTCATAGGACCAGACAAGAGCAGTTTCCTTGTCTTCTATGGTGGAACCATCAGTTGTTTCAGTGTAAAGCTTCATAATAGGCTCTGCTACATGTTTCCAGTCGCAGCCAACCAACGGCACACAGGTCTTCCAAGCTGAATCTCTCTTCAACCTAAAAGCAAAAATTTTGAACATGAAATAAGATGAATGTCCTTTCTAAATCTTGAAAGAAGCTGTGAACAATACCTAAGGAAACAGCCATGCTCTGCCGCCATTGCCAAATTCCCACAGTTACCAAACCAGTCGCTCAAAGTACTGCGGCTCTTCGCACTCACCAGGAAGATGAGATTGTTCTTGTCATTACAGAGGGTATTCAATATCTCAACTAACTTAGAACTAGGTCTCTTATCGATCGTTGAATGTGGCATCACAGTATCATCATAATCCAGCAGCACAGTTCGGGTTTTCGTCCTCCGATACGCGGCGAGAATCCGCTCCATTGATAGCTTCTTGAAGTTGTTATCAAGTGCGACGACTCTGAATCCCAACCCAAAGCCAATTCCCCAGCACCTTCTTGTCAAGTGATCCTTGCATGTCCTTTCTAAATCTTGTAGGAAGCTGTGAGCCCAATAGCCAACATCATGTGTGCTCACATACTGGTAATGCTTCTCATGTCTTAGCTGCTTCTCAGTCTCAGGCATCTCCAATGCACTATCCATAGCATCAGAGACTGCCTCAATGTCCCATGGGTTCACTCTAATAGCCCCGCTTAAAGAAGGAGAACAACCAATGAACTCTGACAGCACAAGCATGCTCTTCTTTGCCACGCCGGAGCTTAAACCGAGAACTCTGTCCAAATTCTCATTGCCCTGTCTTGCAATGATATATTCATAAGGGATCAGATTCATGCCATCCCGAACTGCTGTGATCAAGCAGCAATCGGCAGCAACATAATAAGCCATTCTTTCATAGAAAGGAAGGGGCTTGTCGATGAGAATGACCGGCTTGTAATTTGAATTACCATAGGTATCATTAATCCTCTGCACAATAGAAAAGGTCTCAGCTTGCACCTCCTTCACGTCCTTCCCACGGCCTCTAGCAGGATTAGCTATCTGAACAAGCACGGCTTTGCCGCGCCATTTCGTATGCGAGGCAAGAAGCTGCTCCATTGCAAGAAGCTTGAGGCTAATCCCCTTGAATATATCGAAGTCGTCAACGCCAAGCAACAACGTCTTATCCGCAAACTGCTCCATGATTCTGGCGACTTTGGCCTCTGTTTCATGGAGAGAGAGGACCCGCTGAAGCTGGCCCAAATGGATGCCGACAGGAAGGATCTTGATGCTGACGGTACGGCCATAGTAATCAAGCTCAATATAGCCGCGGTGGGATTGGTAGGTCAAGCCAAGCATTCGGCTGCAGCAAGAGAGGAAATGACGAGCGTAGTCGAAGGTGTGGAAGCCGATGAGGTCGGAGTTGAGGAGGGAACGAAGAATCTCCTCGCGGACGGGGAGAGTGCGGTAGATCTCAGAGGAAGGGAAAGGGGAATGGAGGAAAAATCCAAGCTTTAGGCAATTGAAACGTTTTCTAAGGAAGGTTGGGAGAGCCATGAGATGGTAGTCGTGGAGCCAAACAGAGTCGTGGTCGGGGCTGATGACTTCGAGGACTTTGTCGGCGAAGAGCTTGTTGACGGACACGTAGGCTTGCCAGAGAGAGCGATCAAAGCGGGAGGCGAGTTCAGGGGAGAGGGGGAGGAGGTAATGGAACAGAGGCCACAAGTGGCGCTTGCAGAAGCCGAGGTAGAAGCGGGAGTGTAGTTCCGTGGGGAGGAAAAGGGGAAGGCAGCGGAAAGAGTGCAGAAGGTGTTGGGAGACCTCATCATGTTCGGAAGGGGGGATGATGTCGTCGCGGAGGCAGCCGACGAAGAAGACGTTGGAGGAGGAAGGGAGGGAGTCTCTGAGTTGGAGGAGGAGAGAATCATTGTCGAAGGAGAAGGACCAGCCGGAGCCGTCGGAGTTTCGGCGGGCGCGGAGTGGGAGGTGGTTGGAGACGATGATGGTGCGAGGGGAAGAGTAAAACAAAGAAGACGAATGATCAGGGTCGGAGTCGTCGGAGAGGGATGAAACGGTGGCGGCAGAGGGAGGAAGAAGTCGAGGTGCGAAGCCGGCAGTACGGCATACGGGTGGCGGATCACCGGAAGCTAGCTCGAGGAGGTTAGAGTAAGATCTCGAAGCCATCAGTTACCCGACTAAAAGGTCGCTCCTTTTTCGACGGCTACTGCAAAAGACCAGTTTTTTTTTCTTTAATCAAAGCACTAAATCATCGCAACAGCGATGAAATGCCTGTTCTTGACTGGAAATGGAACAGGAGGAGAAGGTCTGGAGTCGAGAGCAGATTATAAGAGGTGATCAGTCAAACGGAGCTCTAGCAATGGGCAGCTATACTATGATCAGAAAGAACAGAACCGGAGTAACTAGTTTGAAAGGAGGAAGCGAAGGTGTTAAAAGTTGAAAAGGAAAATTTTACCTTTGCTTCGAAGAAATACAAATTTACTTATCTACTAAAATCTGAATCTGAATGGCCGGTGCTTTCCAAGCTTCTTTCTCCCCGCGTTTGAATCTAGAGAGAGAAAGAATACACAGTCAAGGAAGTTCCTGAGAAGGAGGAGGAGAGTTCACGGAGGTTTTATACGGACAAAGAGAATGGAAAAAGGCCGATATATCCATTTCAGATAAGTATTTCGGATATTGATAGATTCACCCCTAAATTACGATTACTCACTCCTCAGATGTCCTTTATAGAAGAGATTATTACTTGCAGGAAAGAATTAGGCAGATTTTATGGGTGTTTATAATAAAAGCATAATTATAGTGCACAATATATTTTTATTGTACATACTCACCGAATTTAGACGCAATTTTGATCCGAATTCCTCTCATGTGTAGGAGGTAAATTTTAGATTACATAAAATAAAGCTCATAAATTTTTTTATTATTTGTATTTTTTATAATTTTTTTATCAATGATTCAAGCTTAAAGTATTAATTATAGGGAAATTTACATGCATATCATTTTATTTTATGTTATTTACATATTTGACATTTAAAATTTTATGAATTGTGCAATAAAATAATGTTTGTAAGTCACAAATTTATATGTGAAAGATCCGTCTAATTATTAATTTGTAAAAATAACTTTGTGAATTGTGCGAAAGTAAAAATTGATAAGAAGAGAGTAAGAGAGCAAGAGATCTGCATAATTTCTCTCAATTTTCATAATGAATTTTGTGATGTGGTATGGTTATGTAATTATCGTCGCGTATATTCTAGCCCGCAAATTCTAGTGAAATCTTTTCAACTGGGTTAGGCCTCGTGGTTTTTCCCCTTTTCAAGATTTTCCATGTAAAAAATATGTGCTCTCTGTGTGTGAGCTGGATATCCGTGCAACGCTAAGACGTAAAATTACAACTCTGCCGCCGCGTATATTCTAGCCTGCAATAGTAATAACTTTATGTTTTAAAACTTTTTCACGTTAAATCCTTATTCTTTCTTTTCCGTTGCATTTTCTTGCTTATTTATGTTCGCTGTATGATTTATTCCCAATATTTTTAACAAGAATAATTGAATTTATTTATTTATTTATTATTATTATTATTATCTGCATGATTATAATTGTACATTTGAGAAATTTCATAAAAGAAATATCTCAAAATGATAATTATGGCATAATTCCCGTCCTGTCATTTAACTCTCATATTTCTCAAAGGAAATAAAAATAAATGTTTGTATAAATATTAAGTGAATGGAAAATATGACAGAAAAACAAAGTGAAAAAACCATTATTGGAAAATATATAAAATTTATGCTTTCTATTAAATTTATGCTTTTTTAACTCCATATTTTGAAAAATATAAAAAAAAATATATTGGAAACTTTTTTTTTTTAAAAAAAAAACTTTATAGGTACCATAATAATTATTTCTTCTCAAAAAAGCTAATCACCTACCATTAAGTAGTGAATGGAAAATATGGGCACAAAGAAACCACGCCAAAACTATGGGCGCTGTAATGCGATTGACCGGAAGAAGGCTTGTATTTGTTGCTTTGATGATGAACGCCACACTACCAATGATGTTGAATCAGGAACATAGGATACATCAAGTTCATCCTTGTAGCCTAACTTTGTTATATATATATATATGTATATTTCTAGTCGCGGTTCCCTTTCTCCAATCTCGCAAATTAGGTGATTTCTCCATCATTTTAAAATCCTCCTCCCCTGCCAATTTCCCTGTCGAAGTTCATTATTACAAATGCTTCATGCATGTGAACAGAGTTTTCATAAGCTTAAGAGTTATTTGGTGTCTTCTCCTGTTCTCACCATTCCTTATGGTACCGATGAATTTTAGATCTACAGTGACGCTTCACATTAAGGCTTCGGTTGTGTCATAATGCAACACAGTAAAGTGGTAGCTTATGCATCCAGTCAAGCTAAGGAGCACGAGAGGAATTACCCTACACCACTTGGAGTTAACTACAGTCATTTTTGCACTAAAGATTTGGAGGCATTACCTAAATGGCATTCATTGTGAGATTTACATTGATCATAAGAGCTTGGAATACATCTTTAGTTAGAAGGAGTTGAACTTAAGGTAAAGGCGATGGCTTGAGTTTTTGAAGGACTATGATGTACATATTCAATATCATCTGGAAAAGTTAATGTTGTGGAAGATACTAGCTTTATGCAGAAAGTCTTTATTTTATACAGCTTGGAAGATCACTCAGGAATGACAATTAGCGCATGAAATGGAGCAACTTCAGTTTAAGATAGTACCAACATGAGGCAACTCTATTATTTATCGCATGTCTATTCAATCACCTATTAATGTTGTATTTACACCTGTACAGCTCAGCCATAGCTACTCTATATATAGAGCTTGTACCTCACGGTTAAATCAAAAAATAGAAAGCCAAGTTCCTGTTCTTCATCTCTCTTCTCTTTCTCTACTTTTCTACATGGTATCAACGAGGATTCCTTCCTGAACCTCCATCCATGGCGGAAACATCATCGGCGACATCCAACACGGCGGCGACTCCAGGTGCCGCATCACAAAATCAAATCATCTCCCCTTCTCTCAAATTCTTCATCGCTAACCTCAAAACTCTCATTCCCAATCAACTATCTACTGACAACTATCCAATCTGGAGGAGCCAAATCGTTAAGATGCTTCGTGCGAATAGCTTTGATCACTTTCTTGAATCACCCACACAATCCCCTTCCTCCTCTCCGACTCAACATACCTGTGCGCCTACACAAGTCCTCTTGTCTTCCGATCAGCTTGCCATCAATCGTAACCTTGCTGCTGCAATATGCTCCACCATTTCGTCTTCCGTATTTCCATACATTTTGCATCTCGATCACACTTATGAGATCTGGCAAGTTCTTGAACCTGCTTCCAATCCTCAAATCAGTCCAAGGTGATACAACTCAAAAATGAGCTCCACTACATTTCCATGGGAAATCTTTTAATAACTCAGTATCTAACCGAGATCAAGAAACTCGTTGATCAAATAGCCTCTGCTGGATCTACTGTGGACAATGAGCATATTATTCTCTACATCTTGAATGGCCTCCCTCCTACCTATCAACATTTCAAGACATCCATTTGGACAATGTTAAACCCAATCAGTGTTGATAATCTTTATGCATTGCTTATTAGTGAAGAAATTCACGTACAAACTGAAGCATCAAGATTACCGGTCTCAGTTGATTCTCAAGCTGCTCTGTACATGAGGAGAGGTCGTAGCCGCCGAGGCCGCGAACGCCAAGCTCAAACCTCAAATCAAACGAATAGATTAGCAACGCTCTCTTTGATTATTTGTCAAATCTGCACCAATAGAGGGCACACGACGGACGTTTGCTGGCATCACCTAAACACCAATTACATACCGCCAGCTCGTCAAACTCAGTAAAACACAGCTCTGCTGGCAGCTCCAAATCCTCTGCACACCAACTGGTACCTGGACTCCAGGGAGTCATAGCACATAACCAGGGAAGCTAACAATCTTGAATATGCCACCACGTACCAAGGATCTGATTATGTTACCATAGGGGATGGAAGATCAATTCCCATTGCTCACTCGGGCACGGGTCTCCTTCCAACCCCTTCTCGTACGCTTTTACTTTCTCAATGACTCCCAATCCCATCAATTTCACATAATCCTATTTCTATTTCTAACTTAGTTATGGATAATAACATCTCTATTACTTTTGATTCCATGGGCTTTACCTTCAAAGACATGAAGACTCATCCAATCTTGCTTCAAGGGCCGTGTAGAGATGGTCTCTATCCAGTCTCAGCTGAACCACACCGCAAGCAATCTTACGCTCTATCTGCATCCAGCTCTCCCTCTACTATCTCGCACAACCGGCTCAGTCACCCCCATACCCGAGTGCTTCAACAAATAGCCAGCAATAACTCTGCTCTACATATACCTACTATCAAGTTTAAATGAGTTTCCTGTATGATCTGTAAAGGCCATATGCTATCATTTGAACAAACTTCAAAACATAAAACTTAGACCTCTCGAACTGATCCATTTTGATCTATGGGAACCATTTCCGGTCGCCTCTCATCAAAGATTTAGATATTACGTACTCTTTGTAGATGATTTTTGTGCTTCACCTGGTTCTTTCCTATTTCTTTAAAATCTGATGTATTACATGTTTTTACTACCTTTACTACATGTGTTGAAAGGCAAACAAATCACCAAATTAAAGCCATATGTACCAATGGTGGCCGTGAGTATATCAATCATCAATTCACAAGCTACCTTCAATCCAAAGGCATTCATCACCACATCTCGTTCCCATATACGCCAGAACAAAACGGAATCGCCGAAGGTAAGCATCGCCATATCATGGACACGGCTAGGACTCTTCTTCAAACTGCATCAATCATTTTGGCCAGATGTAGTTGCGAAGGCCATTTACCTCATTAATCGTCTGCCATCCCTTACTACCAACAACATATCACCGCTCCAACTCCTATTCAACACTGCTCCGTCCTACTCGCACCTTCGGATGCGAATGTTTTCCTCTCGCACCTCGTCATACTCGCACGAAGCTCCAACCTACCATAATTCCCTGCGTCTTCATTGGTTACTCTAACATCTACAAAGGTTATAAATGTTTGAATAAGGAAACAAACAGCATCTTGATCTCTCACCACGTTCAGTTTCTTGAAACCTCCTTTCCCTTTTCAAGAAACCACCACACCTGCTAATCAAATACAAATTCACTCAACGCCTTCTCTTCTTGTACCAATTTCAACTTTATCTGCTCCAACTCATGACATTACCAACAAATCCAACATTTCGACTACTAATCCGTCACCTCACCAAAACTTATCTCCTACAACTACTCCAGCTACTCATATCACGCCCATTTCTTCTCCCAGGCAACCTAACTCAACCGGTCAGGCATCATATGCAATCCAGGTCTCAAACTGGCTCACTCAAGCCTCCTGATCGCCTCAAATTACTTCACAAACATACGGCACCAGCTAACACTCTTGATCCCACAACATTCACGGATGCATACAAGTATTCAGAGTGGTGTCAGGCAATGGCGGCAAAATTCTTTGCTCTCCAAAAGAAAGGAACATGGTGTCTT